GTAGGGTAAGAGTCCATTGCTGTAATCATCCAGTTCCTTCTGAAATCTAAGATATTATGGTTAAGGTCTAACATCTAGGTCTTTTATGAGACAAACAGCTAGCGTCTGCAGTAAGGTGCAGCCACCAGTCCCTAACACCAGGTTCAACCCTGTTGGAGGCTACAAAATATTGTAAGTGAAGTGCTGTGAGTAAAATTTACTCACAGCACTTCACTGAACTCATTAGATTTTCTTACTGAAGTTATAATGAAAAGGTGCCAATGATGTAGTACTGCTTAGTATTTAATACTAAGCAGTACTACATCATTGGCACCTTTTCATTATAACTTCAGTAAGAAAATCTAATGACAGTTCATTGCAATTTACACCTTAATGGCCAAATCTAAATCCACTGAAAAAATACACAGACAAATTTTTTTGTGATTTGTACCTTAGAATTTTAACAATAATGATAATAATGTCAGTGGAGAAAGATAGTGGCCTAACGGTAAATGTCTCTTTTAAGATAGACAGTGTATGACATTTGAGAGTTGTTATTACCAAACTTACACTGCCTCCTTAGACAAGACTCTTTGTTACAAATTGTCTGTCATCTATCAAAGTGTATGTAAATATTGAAATACACCAATCTGTTTTAAAGGATACAGGTCTAATCCACTTTTCCCACCAGAGACAAGACAAACCACATAGTCACTTGAGAGGAAACTTCCGAATTCAGGAGAATCCCTGTGAAATGCAGAAAACCAAGACTTTCCTTTAAATTTTACAATAAAATTTACTAAAAGTTATGCCCCAACAGCTGGTAAACCTGCACCTTCCAGCCGTGAGCCCACACGCCAATGGAACCAGGGACCTGTCACACTGATTTATCAGTGGAAAAAAATAAATGGGGGTGATGGGGGTAAAGAATGATCCAAAGGCTAAACGGAGAGAGTGGCCACCAGGAAACGCTATACTTAATACAAGCTGCTGATGCAGGCAAGGCTGACCATGCTCGAGCCACTGCACTGGCCGCTGACCGATGCTTACACTCAGCTGTTAACTGTGTTAAATTTCATTTAACTACATTTTGTTTCCTACAAGAGAAGCTGGGGACAAACCCAGGCAGGGGGATCTCTGGCCCCCTTAAGGTCAAAGTGTCAATTTGAAGAGGTAAAGTGCACATTAGCTTGCAAAGCAAGTATATTTATGTAAGAAAAGTGCAAATGTTTGTAGCCTGTGTAGCAGGTGCCGGTTTTTTATGGTGAAGGAAGAAATCTCGAGAAGAGGAGAAGAGTGAAGGGAAGTATTCGCCCTGCGTGGCCTGTATATGGTAACTGGCACCTGCAAGGCAGGCTAATGTTAGGAAAACAGTCAAAAAAGCTGTCATAGGGGAAGGGAAAGGGCAAAAAATAAAGTCTTCCTTTTCCTCCACTCCCTTGCTTTTTAGGATTTTGCTCTTGATTATTTTTTCAAGATGGAATTTGTCACCTGACATTCACCTCACAAAAAGATTTTCCTGGTACAGAGCTGGAGGTTTAAGATCACAAGTCTCAGTTGACGGTTGGGGTATACAGCTAGGGTACATGCTTTTTTTTTTATTTTATCGTTTAGTTAAAAGACCACTTGCCTGGGCCCTTGCCAATCAGCCGAACAAATATGAAAAGTTAATTGCAAAGCAGGAAAAACTGCTTGTCTTGGACAACCAGACAATATTTTTCTGAGCACCTGGTATCAGATTTCCATAATGCTAAGCGACAGAGTCCAGTACTTGATCAGAAAGGCATTGCAATAGTGCAAAAAACTCGCAAAAAGTAAGCACTTTACAGTGACTCAAGAGAAGGAACTTTTTGCACTATATTTTCCTGATTTGTAAACCTACACATCATGATGATCACTGCATCCTTCATCATCCTCTTTTCCTCCTCTGAGGAAACAATAATAACAAACAGCAGACTCGTCAGGAAAAAAATCCTCCAGTGTGCTGATGTTGCCACTACCACTATACACAGTTCCCCTAGCAAGTCGCTTGGCCATGAATTTCCTCAGCTCTGTTTCTTGTTCTCCAGATAAATTTGTGCTCAAAAGAGACAAACTGTGAAAAAAAAAACAACAACAACAACAACAAAATATTGACCAGTTAGAAGCCACACCATAATATCATTTGGGATATCAAAAAGATTGGGCAGTTGTAGATGTTTTATTAGCGCCTTTCCAACTCGCGCCCTCACAACTCGCACAACTTTGCTGCTCAAATACTCTTGCTTACAGATTTCTGAGCAAAAGAGAGACTACTCGCAGTCTAGGGCAGTTGTTGCCACACAAAATGGCCCTTAGGCATTTCACTCTAGACACTCACTCCACTTTCACTAAGATTTCAAGTTGGCAAGAGAGTAACAACAAGTAGGCTGGGGATCAAACAGCTAGGGATTTCTATTGGTTCTATTTTCATTCTACATTCCTATGAAAGTAGCTGGGAATCACTTTTATAGTAACCGGTCCCCAGCTGTCAATGACACACTGCCTGATGGAATACAACAAAATGTTTTAATAAGTGGTTGGTCAGAAGTACAGTCAAATCCTGTTAATATAGACACTGAGGGGGCCATAAAACATTTCCCTATTAATGGGGTGTCCATATGAGCGGGTTAAATTAATTAGAAAACGTAAGGGCTTTCTTTTCCTAACTAAGGACAAAGCAAACTGTTCATAATAATGAGGTGTCCGTATTAAGCGGGTGTCTGTAAAGCGGGGTTTGACTGTACATGTAAAAGTCTAATACAGGGGAACCTCGATACAATGAAATTCCAGCTGAGGCCAGCCCAACCCCCCCCCCCCCCCCCCGCTCTCTACCGGCATTTGTCTGGCCTTGTTTTACCGCGGGGGGCGGGTTTTGGAAATTTTTTTTTTCCCAGTGGGTGGGCGGTTTGGAGCGTGAGGACACACATGTGACCTCTAAAGACATCTTTTGAAAATAATTGGGTTTCCGTATTAAGGGGGCTTCTGAAAAGGGGGGTTTTAATGAACAAGGAAAATCCTAAAGAAGGGAAACCCCGATACAATGAAAATCCACCTGGGGCCCCCCCAACCCCCCCCCCCCCCCTGGCTACTGCAGGGCATTTGCTGGCCTTGTTAGTCGCAGGGGTGGGGCATTTGCAAATTTTTTGTTGCCCAGAGGCTGGGCAGTTGCCAACCCCGGGGCCATTCCCAAGCTTTTGTCATGCACGCGGTTTCCTATCAGAATATAACTACACAGATGATTTTACTGGGAAGGAAAGCAGATTGGCTCATCTGTCATGGACAGGAAAAAATTGAAGAGGTTGTAAAGGCATGTTCTTGATTTTATACATGCATTCCTTCATTGCTTATCCAGCCAGAATTACATAGAGAAATCAGGAGCTATCAACGTGAATCAACATTTTTTGGTTATTGAGTCAAATTTCTGCTTATATTATTTGAAAAATATCCTTTCATATTTATAAAACTATTCATAACATATAACTTTACAGCACTCTATTAATTTTAATGTCAATAATTTTACATCAATACTAAAATTACAAACTGGTGCATGTCGTCGCGGCGTGAAGTCTTAATTATGATCTTAGCACTAAAACAAAGGAATACGTTATTGAAGCAAAAAATCACACATTAAAAATGCTTAAAACAGCACTATTCAACTGTGTGTCAATGAAAAATGTTGCAGTGTTGACGAAGGATGGGGCATTCGCCTTCTTTTTTCGTCCCCACCCCAGGGGATTTGACAGCTCAAGAGTCCCCACCCCCGGGAATAGACCTTTTTACCGATACGGCGGCCATATTGAATTCATTCCAGGGGGCATAAGCACATTTTGTTTGTATTTTTGAGCGCTTTTCGGGACATTTTTTCTTAAAGTTTTCTTAGAATAAGATTGTAATGGGAAAAAAAGATCTTTGTGTCGTGTTTGGATGTAATAATGATCGCCTTTTTCTAGTTTAGTATTAGAAATATGGTCTTTCACTATATATTTCTCGAAAAAAAGGCGATCATTATTACATCCAAACACGGCACAAGGATCTTGTTTCCCATTACAATCTTATTCTTAGAGAACATTAAGAAAAAATGTCCCGAAAAGCCTTCGAAAATACAAACGAAATGTGCTTATGCCCCCTGGGCATTCTATAATACTCCTTAAATCGAATGAATTCAACACGGCCGCCGTATCGGTAAAAAGGTCTATTTGCCATCCAAGGCAAAAAAAATGCTAATGCCCGGGGGTCAGCCCGGGGGCGGGGGCTGGGCGCAGCTGGAATTGACTGAAGCATAACGAACCTATTAACGAAGGCCACGGTATAAAGAACAACTTTCTTTTAACACCGTAATTGTAAAATATATAGTAGAGAACCTTGAAATAACGAAACCTCCTAATAGCGAACAAATTTAACAGTCCCCTGGCCCTTCTTTACATCATGGTTTCGTTGTACTCTTTTAAGCTTATTTAATGTAATGTCATGTATTTTCATGCAAAATACAAATAAACAAAATACGATAAGTCTTATACACACGACACGGACTGGGAACAGTCATAGAAATAAAAAACACAAATACCTTACCTAAAGTCGTAATTAGTGGTGGCCTCTTTTCGAAGGAAATCCGCCACATTCCCCTCTACAGCTTTACTGCTTACACCACCATCTTCATTGTCGCCGCCGTTTCTGTCAACATCAGCACTATTGGGCCTAAAATACCGAATAGTTACATACTGAATAAACACTCATTAAGATCAATGGGAGAATACCTTCGTGCTTTAAAAGTGTAAAGGGCAAATCCGTGGAAATCAGTCGGCTTTTTCGCCTTAATTTCAATTCCATCAGCTGTTTGCTCCTTGTCGGCCATATTGGAAGTTGCTCTGGGGCCAAGCCTTGTTGTTACGGTTTGGCTACTAAGCTCCAAAGATGGCGGGCATTTCGCGGTAAACGTTACCGGCGAAATTGAAATTATAGGGTGCAGCCTGGGGTGCGCTGCATTTTCTGGCCCATGGGACATGGCAAAAAGCAAATTCGAATATGTGCGGAAATTCGAGCAAAATGACCAATGTCTCCTTAACTGCTGGATTGTGATTCGCATTGATGGAAGAAACTTTCACAGGTACCTCGTGTTGAGTAAGAACTTTCTGTTGAAGACTTCATGAAATGTTACTAGTCAATTTGAAACTTAAATTTGATTTCAAAATACTTCCCAGGTATTTGAACTTTTACGGAGTCAGCTATGCATATTTTAAATGATGTGCAAAATACCCGACCTTATTAATATGGTCACAGTAGGAGAGGGTTTCAAATTTGTCTTTATCCCTGGTAGTTTCATGCCAAATGTCATAAATATTCTTGATGTATAAGTATCAATTCAATATAGAAATCAACGTGCCACCTCCCCTCTAGTATCCCTTCCGACATTTAAATTGCATCTGATAAATATTTAAAAATATTCAGATTCTCTAAACTGAGCTCCATATGTAAGCTTATGTTTTTAACTACAGTTGTGAGAATCTAGGACCAGATCAAGACTGTTTTTTTTAGCTGGTATTTTAGGATGACATTGTTTATTAAGAGTTCAAAGAAGACAGATAAATTTGTGCCACTGATAACTTGATTTACAGATTTTCGGATGCTCACGGTTTTGAGAAGCCAAATGATCAAAGGGCACTGCAGCTAATGAACAGATGTGCTGAGACGGTGATGAAGGAATTCAAAGACATCGTAATTGCATATGGACAAAGCGATGAATACAGGTGATCAAGAGTTAGGCTTCTAAAAGTGTTCCTCAAAGGAAATCTTTTACAGTAAAACAACAACAAAAATCTGCCTTTTTTTTTAGCTACTGAGGCCTACTTAGGAAGGGAGGGGGGGGGGGGGGGTCTATAAATGTATGTTCCTGTTTTTATTTTCATGACTAGTGGTTTTGCATATTGAGGAGGGGGCAATGTGGCTGTTGGTTTTTTTGTGGTTGTTTTTGGTTGGGGGGGGGGGGGGGGGGGGGGGGGGGTCTATACATGTATGTTCCTAGTCTTAATTTCATGACTAGTCGTTATGCATATTGAAGAGGAGGCCATGTGGCTCGTTGGTATTTTACTGTTGTATTTGTGATTATACCCCATTGCTGTCTTCTCCTGATCTCCCTGTTGTTTGTGGCAAGTCCATCTGTCTAATGTTGCTTTTTCAAGGCCATGCCACTTGTCGGAATAAAGCAAACAGGTCCTCATTACTGAGTCTGTGTAAAGATTTCCACTACACATTGTAATTCATAATAAACCTTGAAAGCTTAATTTTATGTTCTCCCACCTTTTTCTAGTTTGGTATTTAAAAGAAGCACAACACAATTCAGTAGAAGAGCAAGGTAGGTCAAAATCTCAATGTGGTTGTATTTTTTTTCAATTTTTTTTCCCCCTTTATTTTTAATGTCTAAATAAATAGGTAAATAACAATTCTGCAGTAGCACGTCCTCATAGTGGTTCTTTGTCTACCATTCCTGGTCGAATTGGAATTTGGAAATGCTAGTTTTTGTGGAGAGGGGAAAACTGGAGTACCCGGAGAAAAAAACTCTTGAAGCAAGTGAGAGAACCAACAACAAACTCAACCCACACATGGTTTGAATCAGCAAAAATTTGTTTAGCAAGAAGACATTTTTCTCACGTTAATTTTTTCCTTTTATAAACATAGTTAATTTTTTTAAATGTATTGGCCGGTCAAGCATGTTGTGGGTAAGCCCTTGGCTTGGGAGACTGGTTGACCACTCCTTAGCCTACATGTTTATGTTTCAGGTCAAATTTGATTTCAGGTAAAATTTTTTTTAACTTAGGTTGATTCTCAGTTTCGTTTGTCTCCTAGCCCTAATTATTCATGAATTAGGCCTTAAAGAGACAAAAGAAACTGAGAATCAACCTAGGTTAAATCAAAACCTGAAATCACATTTGACATATGATCGATTTCTAATAAACATACAAGTATAATCACCATTTATTATTATTACATATTTTAGTTTTAGTATTATCTCGTAACAAGTCAATTTTTTTTTATTCTCCTGCAGTAAGCTGGTGACTAATGTGGTGTCATTATTTTCATCATCATATGTGTTTTATTGGAACCAGTTTTTTGTATCTCAAAATCTCCTCTACCCACCTATGTTTGATGGCCGTGTTGTACTGTATCCAGCAGAAAAGAACCTAAGAGATTATTTAAGCTGGAGACAAGCAGATTGTAAGTAGAGATAGAGAAGGATTCAAGATGATTATGGGGATGGGGATCCGGGCCATGGCCTACCACAAGTGCATACAGTGTGTCGATCGAGAAAATATCTGTATTTCTCCTCTGAGGGTTTGTTGAATTGACCCTCCACCCCCCTGGGTATCACAAAGATTTTTGTCTCGAAGACCGGCTCCCCGTCAAAATTTCCAATGACTCACTAACCCAGGAGGAGAGGGAGTGTGGATGTACACTTGTAGTACCAGACAATGGCTCTTGATCAAAGATTATGTAATCAAATTACAGGACTTATGAAGACATTGCAATAATACAGTGTATTTCCTTTTTCAATAAAATAATTTGAACTCCATAGGAGCCTATATTTCAGAATTCCGGAGGTAGTGGAGTTATAAAACAAAGTGACTTAACAGCGATGATTTAAAGACCCAAATTCTTTGTAAAAAATATTGTTAAATGCGAGTTCTTAACAGCCTTTTTAAATTCTTAACTGTAGATTTTTTCCTAGGTCATATTAACAACCTTTACAATACATGCTTCTGGTGTCTGGTTCAACAATCGGGTCTTACCACAGACCAGGCTGAGGGAAGACTTAACGTAAGTGCTTTTAGTAATCATTAATGCTGTTGGAATGACTAGTTGGTTAAAATAAATAGATTATTGTAAGTTACTCACATAGAAATTATCAGAATCAGTGGCATAACAGAAAAATGTGAGTGGTTTTTCTGTACACTAAGTGTTAAATTGAGTGGGGAGTATTTTCCAGATAAGGAGGAAAAATTAGCTATTCATTATATATTAGATGGTAAAAAATGCAAGGCCTTACCATGACTTAAAACTCCCTACCAGCCACTATAAAAATTATTACTTCAGATGGTCTAAAGGAGTAACCACTTGAAATGTCAGATCTCATCTGAGACCAAACACTTCTTGTTTGTCCTAAAACAAAGTCCGAAATTTAAGTTGTTTTGTAATCTTAGCCATCTTGATGTGTGGTATTCAAAGGAGCCCACAGCTTCTGATCGGTCAAAGTTCATGACAAGATTTAAAACTTGCATCGATCACTAAATTTTTATGTTCTTTCAGGGCACAGCGTCTAGTGACAAGAATGAAATCCTTTTTTCTGAATACAACATCAACTACAACAACCTTCCTCAAATGTACCGCAAAGGATCAGTCCTTCTCTGGGAGATGGTAATCATATCTCATTCCTTATTTTTTTTTTGCACTTTAAACCTCTAGCCCCCCTACGAGTGACCAACATTCCATTTCTCTGTTCAGTTACACTGTTCAATCAATCAAAAAGGTCACAAGAAAAACTGAACTGTTCAACTAGTTAAAAAGATCTTGATTATTTACAAATTCTCTAGACTACAAGTAGTCCCCCATTTTTCCTCAAGGATAGTAGAGGGAGCGAAACGCGAGCGCGCGTGAAAATCACCCCATTTTTCTCTCTCCCCGCCGCGTGTCGCCTTTTCTCATATGGGGTGATTTTCACGCGCGCTCGTGTTTCGTTCGCTCTACTATCCTTGAGGAAAAATGGGGGACTACTCGTAGTCTACAAATTCTCTTCATCAGTGTCGTCGTACAATAGGCATGGTGCTAAAAAAACATAAACTGCGACATATAAGTCCCCCACCCCCCTGGCCCCAGATATAAGCCACCCTCTAGCTTATGATCCAAATATATTGAAATGAATTCGATTTGTTACAATGTTTTTAAGTTTCATTTAAAATAACAGTAAATGCAAAATGTTTTTGACTAGCACTGCTAGCTGCTTTCTCTATTCCAGTTTTGAATCCCCTAGGATATACGCTCCTCAGTTTATAAACGGCAGTTTATGGTTGTTAACTTTCATCCTTGTTTTATTGTCAACTCAAGAGACCAGGATTTGCATAGCAAGTCAGTTAATACGATCAATTCTGTAACTGTAATGATATTAAACAAGGCTTACAGTGGTCTCAGCTGTGTGATTTTCCTGAACTAAACAATCAGTATAAAAAATGTACAAAGTAGAACAGTGTGGAGAATATACGTATAAAGGGTACAAAGCTGAAGCAAAACGTCTTTTTGAGCTGCTGTGTTAACTATAAAATCATTTATGTCCTCTCATTATAGATCAGTGAGGAAAACAACTTAGATCAAGCTGGCAATTTTCAAAAGACAAAGAGACAGATTGTAATTTACCACACTGACATTATTGGCGACAGCTTTTGGATTGAACATCCAGATATCTTAAAAAGCTAGTGATTTAGGTAACACATACATTCCTACAGCTTCAAAGATGGATACCCTTACAGAAAAGAGGAAGGAAATCTTACTTCTAACAACTCTACCTCACCATAGCCATTTCAGTATTGTTTCTAAGAAGAAAGGTCAGCCAAGGAGAACAAGATTATAAAGTGTTTGAGAGCCTTTCAGTACAGGAATTGATATAGAACAGAATACTGAACATCTTAACATGTCAAAACTTAATATAAACTATTATAAAATAACTAAGATAGTACGCGCGCTCTGATTGGCCGAGAGCAGTGTTTGCATGAGAGTATGTAAACATGGTTGTGGCATCAAGTTGTTTGGTTTTTCGCGCGCAAATCACGCAAGCACAAATTTGAAAAAGTTTTCGAGTTCAAAACTCAAAAAGTTTACTTTATTTACCCATTCCTTCGTCGGCTGAAACTTGGAAAATCGTTACAAAGAAGGTGTGTACATTTTTCTTCGCTTAAGCTGACCGTTTTAAGTGGGAAAAATCCGTATTTTGCAAAGCATCTTTTTGCAAAACAAGAACTGATTACGCGTGCAAGACTTCGTGGACAGGATTTTGCGACTGGTAAGAATTTCTCTTTTAATCAGTGCCATACAAAGAGTTTTGCGTTTTTTTCTCGGGAAAGTTATTTTATAAAAGCAATAGAAAACTTTTTTCCTCTGTTTGCATAGCCTGATATAAACACTCGAGGCGTTGGGAGAATTCTCGACGGTTATGCAAACCCTCGACTTCGTCTCGGGTTTGCATAACCGTCTCGAATTCTCCCAACCCCTCTCGTGTTTATATCAGGCTATGCAAACAGGGAAAACGTTTTCTATTGCTTAATTATTTAATGCTATTTTATGTCAATAGCAAATCCTCTATTTTATTGAAAATAACTCTTTAATACTTTAATGCATAATTCCAAAATTGTAATATTGTATTTTCTACTTCCCCTTTCACTTTCACAAATATTCAAACAAGGAGGGAAATTTCTCAAATTTGCATTACACCTACCCTACACAGATTTAATTACATTGTTTACCTAAGAATAAAGTAATCAATGCTAGGCTCTTGTCTAGTGGATAAATGTAAATTCACGAGTAGATATCATTAGTTCCATCTAACACATTATTATGTATGTTTATGTTAATAGGCAATGCACTAAGAGGTTATGTGACATCATTTTTATGAAAATAAAAGTTATATGGTATTGCCTTCAAAAAACCATTATTGGGTCGTATCTTAAACAAAATAATAGTGATTTAGTTTTTCAAACCCGCACCATTTTCTTAAGTAAGTTTGTAGATGGTCACATGACCAAAATGTGGTTTTTAAACCTATGAACTATCTCTTTCTGAACAAAAATTTTGCACGTAAACTTCAAGGAAATTGTTGAAAAGATTATGTGGTAAAGTTTTCAACACATCTGATCATACATTGTAACTATCAACCGTTTAACAAGATACAAGCAAAAAGTAGTTTTGGCTGCCATGTTGGAGGGCAAGAGTATGTCCTCCAACATTGCGGCCAATACAAATCTAGCCTGTTCCAGGCTCCAAGATAGCCGGGTCCACTGAATTGAGCCTGGAACAGGCTAATACAAATCATACTACTTTGTTGAAAAATCAAAGTGCCATAAAATGTCCCCCTTAAATGCGTTTCCTCTCAAATTTTGGGAGTAAGATAATTTTAATACGCTCCATCAATTTTTGGCATCAGCAAGATTCCAACTCATTGTTTAAATGAAGCATTGGTCACATGACCTCTTAGGTCAAGTGGCTTATTGACCACCAGGCATCATTTTGAAGTAAAAAGCCTGTTGAAGTTTTAACAAGGTGACGAGTGTTGATTAGCAAGAGCATACTGTGTACACTGGAGTTTTGATAAAATTTTTAAACATGAGGTGCTGAGAAGCATCACTGAGGCCCTAAGACCCTAATTTTAAAATCTACCGCTTTGAGGTAAAAATGTCCTGAGTTGTATTTAAACATGGAAATGGGAGGAAAATTGACACCATCACAAATACTTTTGAGATTTTTTATCAATATTTTCTGTGACCAAAATTTCAAGGTGTGGTTCTCCACACCTTGCAGTCTGTTTAAAGAAGAAACGGTGATGATGGTGATGATGAGGAGGAGGAGGATGATAAACATAAAAGCAACAGGGACCTTTACATGGTCTCCTATGCAGCCATTCTTCACATTGTTATGCACCACTCCTCCCTAGAAGAGAACATTGTGTGTTCACACAAAGAACAGCTGTGTGGGAGACTAACTTTCGCATTGCACTAAATACAAACTCAATTTTGCAATTCAGAAATTCGGGACTATAACTAAGCAGGCACCATCTCTGCCTCTCTCTTGTTTTGTTTTGCCCTCGGTGGTCTTTTCTCTCCTGTTAAAAAAACAAAAACAAAACAAAAACAAACAATATTAAATTACTTTTGATGACAACAACATCCAGATACACGAGGATCCCAATAGGTTTTTTAGGATCAAGGAAATGCCTTTTTTTAAGGATGGGATTTGGAATTTTAGAGGAAAGGCAAGCAATATTCAGGATTGTAGAACTTAACAACGGGGATGTGGAAGTTGGAAATTTTATGATTTTATGATCTGGGATTTCAGAAATGCTGTTCAAAACCCCAATATCCAGTAAGCACTTGACTTAAAAGAAAATGCCCTGTCATTTTCCTCAACCACACATGGCAGTTTTTACCTTGTCATAATTTTTATCCCACTATTGTCCACTGATTCTCCTCAAATGAGAAATCAAGAACCTCTATAAGGCAGTTTTTAGATATGGTTGGGATTGGGATTAGCTGATGATAACTGTCAGGATCACAGGATTGACGGGAAAGTTTTGGCAGAATAATGGCATTGAAAACCCTATTGGGGACTGTTATACATACTGCAACTTTGGCTTGCAATGTTAAGCCTTATGAAAAAAATAATGTTATGACAACAGCACTAATATGCAACTCAGCTATATACTTTATTAGAAAAACAATTTGTCCACTAAATGAGATTGTACTGGGATGGTCTCTCGCATGAACCATCTCATGACCTGGGATTGCACTACAAAATTTTAGAGACTCATGCAGTGACGTCTCCAAGTGCCAAAGACCCAGGGATTTCCCTAGCTACTATGAGAATGACCTCTGATGGTTATATTCATAGAAGACAAAAGAAAAACAGAACCAAAAGAACTATCTTGGTATGGTATATCTTGGTGACAGTCCTTGTTATGGAAGGTACCACGATGGCTCCAATGAATTGCTTAAATTGAACAACATCTTGCAGGTAACAATGTGTTAAGTGAATTATAAAGCTTGTGTGTTCTATGAGGTGCTTTTCATTTGTCTTCTTTTGGAAACAACTACCATAATATTGTGAATGAGTAACATTTAAATAATGTTATTAAAGGGTATTAAGACACATACCAAGTTCCTTTGTTGGTTCTTCTGGTTCTTCTGTTGGTACTTCAGGAAGGTTCTCAGTAACAGACTGAAATTCAAACATAAGCAATAAATAACTTGTTTAGAAACTTCATAACCTGAGATCAGGCCCAATTTTAGCGGTTCTCATACATTCTCTCTAACAGCTACCGCTGAAATTTCGCCTTGCCCACCGCAATGTAATTTTCAAAGCGAAACGAAAATAGAGCCTGATCTCAGGTTAGAAACTTGCAAGCAGCTACAGAGGCAATTGAAAACAAAGTAAAACAAAAACTTTCACTTGCTTTTGAACATCCTCCCTCATCCACCCTATTAAACTCATCAACAATAAAAGAGCGTGGGGGAGGTGCCTGAGAAGCTGATGGCGCCCAGAACTGCAGCTGAGTGCAGTGAGTAACCATGACAATGCCGTGAGTGGCATCTACCCACGCACCATAACACTGCTAACCAGTGGAAACTAAATATAATTACCCAATACTTACCAAAGGGAGGGCTGGGAAGGGAGCAGAAATAAACACAAGCAAAACACGAGTGAAATGAGATGACCTCAACAACATAGCCATAAAATCCCAGATGCCCCTGCAAAGGCCCACGACCACTTCTGTGAGTTCTAGGGAGGGACAGCAGGCCAGCATTGTCTCAAGTTTAACTTTGCCTAAATTGCACTCAGCCATTTTAATATTAATACGATGTTGACACTGACAGGATCCCACAGAGTAGACACCGATGCACCACATCCTTGCATGCATGTGTCTGCTTAGCTGCAGAGGGGGCATTGTACTGAGGTGAGATGGATGTGGGAGGAAAGTTTCTTCTTTGTCATCCAAATATTGAGACAATGCTTGTTTTAATACGAATACTTTTGTTGGCCCATGAAGTATAGCATTTTACCTGTGTCATTTCCTCCAGTTCTTGTAACACTGCATCTTCATCTTCCTGAGTCAAACTTCCGCTCAAAAGTTCATCAATTTCCTGGAAAAATGAATGAATCATCTTATTGCAAGGTTAGTTACATGGCCTTGCAATATCATTTACGTACTCTAAGGTAACTGTTCTGTGTATATATCAAGTTGGGTGAGAGACAAAATACCCTTCCTATGCTACAAATTTACGCTCAGTTAATTATACACTCCATGGAAAGTGAAAAACAGATTGCTTTTGATATCAACAACCTAACCTCCTTTAGGAAGAAATGGGCTACTTTCAAGCAATGCCCCTCAGAGAAATAACTTAATCTAAACAGCTACAGGAAGTGCAAGTAAGAGATAGGCAGATGGGGGAGGGAGGACCAAAAGGCAGTCGACCTTTTTGTGACTGTTATCATTATCTCTTTGTAAACTTTGTCTTTATTTTTTCTTCTTTTTTTTCTCTTCTTTTAAAATATTTATCTGTTTTAATGTAAGGTAAAATATTGTAACCAATAATGATAGGCTTAATGTAATGAATTGTAACTGTCTGCACTGAAATGTAAGCGACTTTTAATTTTTGTCAATAAATAAAAAAAATTGGGAGAGAGACTAAATGTTTTTTACACAAGTCCTGCTGAGGTTCATCTTCAATGTCTGCTCCCTGCAGAACATGATTGTTCTCTTGCATCGAGATAATTATACATACTCTTTGATATTCAATGCCTTCCTGTGTCTCGTCCATTATTCTTTCCACATCTTCTATTGACATGATCTGTAACAAGAATGTTAAAGTAAATAAAAAAATAAACAAATACATAAATACAATAGAATCTCGCTAACTCAAACTCAGGATTTAGAGGTACCACACGGACCACATAGCGGTTCAAAATCCACCATATTATTAATAGTATTGATGAAGGGATTTGAACCCGGTCCATATTGGTAGGAGGTGAGTGCTCTCACCACTGTGCCACCCTTGCTCCCCCCCCCCCCCCCCCCCCCAAATAAAACATTTTGACTAACTGGGCATGTACAATATGAGAATTTTCCCCTACAGGGAAACTCCCAAGATGGTAGTAGCTGAAAGCTCCTAGTCTTGCTTAGGGGTATAAATCCACATACTTCATGCATTTTTTTCAGCGCTTCATTTCCTTGTTTCAATCCATCAGCAACTTGTAACTGGATTTGAGCAAATTCAACATCCTGGACCTGACAGGGTATATGCAGTTACAATTTAGTATTAAGTTTTTTAAAATTTACTTAGGTTCACCAATTCTTGGCAGGGTCACTGCAACAGTACGTGGCACCAATTATGGTCAGCCCATAACAGTCCCTCCCTCATGAGAGGACTGTCCCCTACTCCTTATGAACAGTGGTTGGGTCCTTAAACATCCCACAGAATTTACATGTGCAAGGGTTGTGAGAGGAGGCCTATAGTTTACTTGAAAGTTGTCTTTACAAAAGCAGCACTTTCTCCTCAGTTATTTTAACATCCCTAGTGTTGGTCTGACTGGGGTTTGAACCACCGCCCTCTGACACGGCTCAGCAAATAATTTGGCACTTTTAAGCTAACCAGGTGGCAGTTTATGCACGATATAAAATGCACAAAATGAAATGTAAAATGACTATCAAATTTATTAATAAAATACAAATGAAATGACTGTCAGGCTGAAGCAATAAGTGCATGAAAGAATAGTTTTAGCATTGTTTTTAGCAACAGCTTTAAGCCTCATGATCAACAGAATTTTTTCTGTTGAATAAAATTTTGCCTCCCGAGTTTGAAAACTTTTGAATGACATGTATTACAATGAATAATGACTTACTATTATCATCAGTTATTATTATTAGTATTAATCACTCAAATAATAATAATAATATCGTTATCATTTTAAATAACCATGGGTCAAATCTCTTTCAGTTGCTCACTGAAATAACATGGATAATACAATTTAGGCTAAGTCAAGGTGTGAGCTCCATTGAAGGTAATGATTTCATGCAGTTATTCTTGGATAGATCACAACATTAAGAGTGCTTTGATCTCACACAGGGTATCGATCATCTTCTTAGAACGAATTATTAATAAAGTGTAGTACAATCATGTAGTTTCGAAATCAAAAGTAAGAATAACATTGAAACTTGGGCGCCTTGGAAAGTGTAGAGAGTAAACTTGTCTGGTATAGAATGAGGTCGCAAACATTTACTCAACATGAATTGCTATAAAGCTAAATAAAAAGCAAACCATTTTTTCCAAATTTTCCAGCTGATTATCTGTTCTTTCAAGGGTCTGTTCCTGATATCTCTTCTTCTTTAAAAGTAGTTTTGCTTTACTGAGATTTAAAGAGGAAAAATTCTCATTGTTAGAATAAATTATTTTTCTGCCTGTTCTGTAAGCCTAAATTCTGCAAACATCACAAAAACATGGTGTATCATCCAAGTCTAATATTTGAGTCTGTGGACACAAGTTCATGGAGTTAGCAATAAATGAAATGTCTTTGACATAATATGTGTAGATGCAAATAAACCCTGGAGAGGGGGGAGGGGGGATACAGCTCTCTACTTGGGTTAATGTTTGCTGGGTATGTGCCGCTGACCTCTCAGAGCTCCTACCCCATTATAGCCTATTCTGTGGGCAATTATAGACCCCATTTTAGTCACCTTTGGGCAAATGTAATTTTCATGACCTCAACTTAGTCACTTTCTATTGATGTATCTACCTTATCAATCCCTTAAATAGGCCATACTAAAATGAATTGACCCATTTTTAAACTGAACAAAGAACACTTTACTTTTCACCTACAGTACAAACATTCTGGTACGTTTGCTGACTGTAAATATGAAGAACAATTAACTTTCTTATCCCAAGAATCTGAAAATGTGTGATCCCATTCTAGCAACCCCATTATAGTCAATCCAGTCGTGAAAATGTGACCCCATCCAGCGGCACATTCCCATTAGCCTCTTATAAGAAAGTACCCACCCTCCCCCTGAGATGAGCTTTCTTAAAAATGATAATAAAAGTCGACTTTTTATAGATCATATTCATATTCATATTCATTTAACACTCTGATCTTGTCTTAACAAGTGCCCGCAGATGGGCTGTGGCTTGGTTGCCATGGTGATCTCCTTGCTACAAGGAGATTGCTTCTCTCTTCTCTTGCTATTTTTACATCACCAACAGTGTATTATACAGAGCTTTTATTGGCTAAGAGTTTGACATAAGTGGGTACCAACTCACCTCTTTTTCCCTTCCTTTAATAGCTCCTTTGCAAGCTGTCTTTCCTTTTCGAGATTGAGTTGGATCTAAAATAAAGAATGAGTACAATTTATTAGGACCGTAAATTCATTTACAACCTGGACCAAGCTTAAGTCTTAAGCTCTGGGAGAGATTTAAATATGTAACTCCTCTGTTTTTTTTTCCTGGGTAAAATTGAAAAATCTAGGGAAGGCCTCCCTATTTTAAGTCTATTACACTGCCATTGCCTAAGACACTTTGTTTCAGCGAGAGAGTGCCCCCTGCACCTTTGTTTGGAGGTCTGGACATGCTACTGAATCTGCTTCTGGAACCTGATCATTTACATGTAGACAATAATTTCCACATTGATCATCATTATTTTGTAACATGTAGTGTTTTGGGATACTGCCTTCTTCTTATAGTTACTCTATGTAAGGTACATGCAAAGCTGATTGCTCCATACCTTCTTCTGGTATTGTTTGAGTTTATCCCTCTGCTGTTTAAGTGCCTGGAAGCCAAAATATTTATTGAAATACAAATGGTAAATAACTTTCTTATACCTAAAAATCCATATGGTTCCTACCAGTGAAACTAAAATTAAATTTGATTAAATTTGGCCAAGTGTGTAAATCATTTGCATATAGGTGCAGAACTCTTTTAAAGAGAGGAGCTAACGAGCTAACAATGAAAAATAGCAAGTGCACTGGTATCTCAGGTCAGTTTGTTATTAACAACCTTCAATCTCTGAATTTATTCCAATTTTGTTTTAATTGAATTGGTTGTAACCTTGATATATATTGTAATAATGAAACTGACTCTCATAGTAATAAGCAGGGTTTTCATTAAGAATTCTAGTAGCAGGTGAAAGGTGTAACTTTACAGGAGAATACTTTGAAAGGGGCTCCATGTCAGAATAAAAATCAGTCAGAGGCTATCGCACGTTAGCCAAGGAATCCTGTACAACAAATGGAGAATTCTCCAATCTCCTATGCCTAATGAACACCCTGAATAAGAATTCTTGCAATTCAAAATACTTCCTCCCCTCCGTTATTAGAGAACAGTGCTATATAAGTAAAATAAAATTGTTTTTTACCATTATTAATCATGGCCCGCCTGGATCAGCAACTGTTAGAAGCAGGCCAGTCGATTGTAATGGAATAATTTATTATTCCTAAATAAAGTTGCAGTTGGGGTTGACTGACATAAGATGTTAGCTAAATGGATGTCAGCAAAACATCTCATAAGCCAGGCCCGTAGCAAGCATAAAATGACTGGGGAGCTGAGCGAGTGGCCCACATTAACTCTACCTCCCCCCACCCACATTGCCCCCTCCCCCCCACTTCGGTCCCTCGGTTAAAGCATACTTCTTAGTACATGTCAGATCACTACATTTGTCTACAATACCTTCCCGGTTGTTCTTTGATTCGGATTGTTTCTTCGACTACACCAGGCTCTGTGTCACTAGTGCATAGTTTTACCCACGATAAAAGTGTTCCCGGCTTATTTTCGACTTGTTTGGATTTCTTTTTCGGCGGCTCTTGCGAAGACATTGTAAGACTTTCAACATAAACGCACAAAAACCTAAGTTTTACTCTAGTACAGTAGTATATTTTACACTGGCGAACCCCTTAGGAAAACAATAAAGTTCAAGAGGTCAAGTTCAGGTATTGTCATTGATGCATTTAGATCCATTTTGCTTCTGACTATTTTGATGCTTAATTAGCAGATATTTTAAAGCTGTTGGTTGTTTTTGGCAGAGCAAAAATACGATTTCGTTCATTTACACAACAGTACATAGGTGGTTTTCATGTTACGTCATCGCCACCATGCTGGTGGACAGTAAACAAAAGATCGCTCATTAGCTCGTTTTGTTTGTCCACCAGCATTTTTTCATTTCCTCATTGTTATTTGTGTCTCCCGAGACTGCATGAAAACCACCTATAATTTTACTATGATCAACAATACTTTGAAACTTTTGCTTCCATTGACAGCTGTCCATTTTAGTAGAAAAATTCCACTTTTGTAGCAGAATTTAATTCAAGTCTGAAAATTTCTGGGGGGGACTCGAGCCCTCCCCTGCCCCTCCACCTGCTACAGGCCTGAAAGCGAAACAAACCTACTTTAGCTACATGCTCCCCCCCCTCCTACCCCGTACATGTACCTGCTGCATGGTCCCAACTCCCGAGTTCACTATTTCGAGAAAAATAAGTGTGGAAAAGAAGACTGACGATTAACGCTTTTAACAGTAGACAACAGACCACCTAAAATACTTGCTACCCTGGCCTTGTTGCATTAACACTGAAAAATCTTACCAGAATAGCTTTGTCCTGTTCAGTTATTTTTGGTCTTTCTGGTTCTTTTTTCTTGCTAAACAAGGATCCCATCTTGCCAAAATAGAAGTCAAGATTGCTTTTAAACTTGTAATTAGAATATTATTATTTGAGTGTCTCACCGCATATCAGGAAGTGATCGGCGCCATTTTGAATTTACAAGCAGCTGACTTGCATGAAAGTGAGGCAATCAGCTGAAAAATGCGTGAAAGCGAGGCATTCTTTCGGTATTCAAGATGGCGCCAGGCGCTATATGAATCTCTTTGAGCGTGGATTTCTTTTTTTAGTGGAGAAGTTTTCATGGCAGAATGAAATGGAATGAGTGGGAGACCACAGGGCCGTGGTAGGCAAACACGCAGAGATCGTTCTCAGCGAAACAGAGGCCGAGACCACTCTGCAGACTCAGTCAGTAGCACTACAAGTACTCAAAGTGAAAGAGAAAGAGATCGGGATCGCGAACAGCGAAATGGGCGGAACTCCAGACGTCGCCCTGAAAAGAAAGAAGAACGAGGCAGACGAAGAAACGACGAAAGTAGGAGAGATGTACCTGAGAGAGAGGGTAGTAAAGCTAACGTCGTTGAAAAGGATAAAGGAAAGCAGCGCACGGATGGTGAGAAACAACCTTCTCGCGGTAGAGGAGAAACAGGCCGAGATGTTCCCAGAGAGTTGAACCGTGATAATTTTGCTACTAAAGGCTCGGCTAATGGTAAGTCACGGTACACCGATAGTTGCAGAATTGACTTTCTGCTCTTACTAATTGTTCTGAAAAACAATTAACGGTGATTCAGCTGAACTGAACAAACGCTATAGCTTCAAACAATCAAGCTTATTATAACCTTGTTTGTTCTTTGATTCCGTTGGCCAAATTTGAAAGTCGCAATTCAGACGTTCGTTTGTTTAAAGAAACGCGTATTTTTTTAACATACAATTTTAGTCGTTTTTATTTTTGTTTCAATTTTCCAAGTTATTTTTTTCTTAAAGAGAATGCAGATAACCAAGGTATAGCGCTCGACATGTGCAAGAAAATGATGTCCCCTCTCTTCTTCCGGCTAATTTGCTGGGTTTACATTTGCCAAGGCAGCTTAGTTTATACTTAATTGGGCTTAATGGCATAATTTGCCTCCCACTGCGTAAAATTCTGTATGTTTTTTTGTGTTTTATTCTACAATTGGCATATGCATATGAGCATATTATTTTATTAAAATGTTCAACTTCATGTTCACTCTACACCAGCAGGCTAATCAGTAGCTCACTCGCTGTCCATATTAAAACAGAATATTATTATATTGTAATGTTCAGCAATAACAGTAACATATTCAGGAATTTAAAAACTGTAGACATTCAGTTATGAGCTATTATACTCCAATCTTGAGTACACCAGTAATTGTTGGATGGCAAGGAATATTTACTTCTGCACAACAGGCTGAAGAGTTACAAAGGAAAAGATTCAAAGTGACTCCTGATTACAGGTTGAATTCTTCCACAATTCACAAACAAACACAAGACAATCAAAAAAGGAGAATCTAGAGGTAAATCAGGAGTCACTTGGAGTCACTTTAAGCTGTTACTTTTATTAACAAGCCCCTCCAGGCCCTTCCCAGTTATAGGCCCATCCACCCATAAACAAAACATGCATCTGATTCAGTGCTCTTACCAGACCGAGGCATTGCAGCACTTCAGCACTTTTTCGGGGAATGCTGCACAATAATTCGCTTAAGCGTTCTCAAGGTGCATAAAATATACGTACACGCACATACATTTCCTTATAATATAAGCCAAAATTTAATTGTTTATGTCATCTTTACCCTAACTCAGAGCAGTAAAATGTTGAGTTAACTGTATGTAAAAACTGGATATTTATTATCTAAGAAAGTACAAGGGATTTTCTCTAACTCAGACCTGTGAGTTAAACATTGAGTTGACTGGATCTAAAAATTGTGACCCGCTTTAATTTTCTCCCTCATGACCGCCTTTTAGCTTCTCTATGGGTCCTGTGGACCCCAGGGTGGAAAATTTAGGTAAGAACACTGCCCAATATCAGCCCCCCCGTGGATATAAGCCTACCTCTAATGCTGTTCCAAATGTGTTGAAATACACCGAATGCAAATATGGCGGACCTCTCGGCCGGCCCGGGTCTAGTTGCGCGAAAGCGAGGCTAGTTAGGCCTCGAGAGTTTTGTTTTGACTGCGTGTCTTAGCGATTGAGTCGATCGATATGGTTTGCATCGAGTTGTTGCATGCCTGAGGGCCACCAAAAAGAAGATTTTACTTTAGCTGGAATAGCCTTTACTTTCCCGAGATCTTTTCACAAAGAAACTTAAGGATTCATGCGATTCGGCGCGGCGATGGGAAGCACTTAACAGCGAAACTGTGCTCGCTCACTTGCTTCAGATGAGAAGACTCACAAAAGTATTTGAGTGAAATAATTTTCATAAGAGATGGTGCTGTTCCAAGATGTTTGCATGGTCTGTTATTTATCCAACAAAAGGTAAACATTCTCGAGAACAGGAGCAACCGCGGTGGACCGTAAAATCTTTTAGATTTCCTGCTGAAAATAGCTGCATTAAAATATAACAACAACAATAACAATCGCCTGTTAATCCTACAAACAAACGTGGCCTGTGAAACTATGTAAGAACCAGAAGAAAGCGACATATTTCAAGAACAGTCCCTGAGCAAAATGCACTGAAAAAACTAACAGAGGAACCGTTGCCAACTAAGAAAGTAAGAAGAAGAAAAAAGGTTCTGGAAGAAAAAGAGCGTGCAAGTATTCGAGCATAGTATTTGACCTTGCGCGTGATCTATTTTAGGTACTTGTCGAATGGTTTCGAGATAAACTAACAGCGATTTTCCAAAAATTGATTCTTTTATGGCACTGCTCAAACTCTTAAACACAGGATCGTGAAGACTGTGAAAAAACATTCGCCCTTGTTGTTTGTCGTTGTGTCCCTGAGAGGGCCTAAAGATTGGTTAGTCGTCGAGGATATTTACCTTTCCTTGGTAAGAGAACGGACAAAGCAAACTTGAAACAGACCATGAATCTTTCAGTTATTCACCCATTCTAATAGTTTCGTGAGTCTTCTCTTCTGAAGTGAAGCGAGCATACTTTCGTTCTTTTAAAAAATAACTCCGTGATAGTAGAGTGCCTCCATTCGCTGCGCCGAATCGCTTGAATCCATTTCTTTCTTCGTAAAGAACTTTGGCAAAGCGAAGATAATCAACTTTCGTCTCTGCTGGAGTTAAATCTCCTATCTGATGGCTCTTAAGCACGTA